TATATATATATATATATATGTATATATTAATAAAAATAATGCAGTTACACAAGCTATGTAGTATGAGGGACCTCATTGTTCTTTCTTATCATTTAGCGTAAACGTAAGTATACATGTAATCCTCTGCTGGCGCATGGTGTGCTGCAGAGTGCTTCTACCAGCACTCATCCCCATAGCACTCGTGTCATATACACTGCAGGTGCGGAAGATGGTGAAGAGATAGAGGACACTCGCCCGAACATCGATAAGATTTTGGGCAAGAAATTGGGCTCAGAGATGGATGACATCGAAGATGATCTGATTGGCGGCATTCCTTTGGCGCACTATTCCCACAAGCTCTCGTAGGTTATGTGTTTACCACTTAAGTGATATTCTGTGTGTTTGTAAGTTAACTGTTCAGTGCTATTTAGCGTTGATCTGTGTGTGGTTGTAGAGTGGCAGATGTTCTCAAGTACTTCATCGCTGACTTGCCTGCAAACCTTACGTCTCTGCAGCATGCACAGTGACGAATGATGTTAAACGTATTCTACACTAAACCCTAAAACATATCCTACATTGAACCAGACGTTCACTGGAGCATATGCAGGCATGTATCATTCATTGCAGTCGGACCTCACGACAATCAATATACTTATAATGTACTTATAATGTACTTAGAATGTAAAATATACTTATAATGTACTTATAATGTAAAATATACTAATAATGTACTTATACTGTATTTATAATGTAAAATATACTTATAATGTACTTATACTGTACATATAATGTAAAATATACTTATAATGCACTTATACTGTAAAATAGACTTACAATGTATTTATAATATACTTCTTAGGATGTAAAATCTACTTATAATGTACTTGTAGTGTAAAATATACTTATAATGCACTTATACTGTAAAATAGACTTACAATGTATTTATAATATACTTCTTAGGATGTAAAATCTACTTATAATGTACTTGTAGTGTAAAATATACTTATAATATACTTATCATGTACTTATAATGTAGAATTTATAATGTACTTATAATATAAAATTTACTTATGATATACCTATAATATAAAATATACTTATATTGGACATGTCTTGATGCGCAAGCAGATACAATGGCAAACAAGACAAGGAGGCATCGCAGGGGCGTGTGTACTACAACATTAAATGGCAGGGAAGGAGCCACCGCCACAACACATGGAACTCCGCAGTACAACTTAAGACAGCGCGTAAGTGGGAGGCGCAATGAAACCCCAAAACTCTAAAACCCTAAAACCCTAGTGCAGAGGTGTTGCGTGTGTGTGCCATTGTGTGCGTAGTACTGAGCAGAGGTGTTGCGTGTGTGTGCCATTGTGTGCGTAGCACTGAGAAAAGGTGTTGCATGTGTGTGTCATTGTGTGTGTTGCACTGAGAAAAGGTGTTGCATGTGTGTGTCATTGTGTGTGTAATACTGAGCAGAGGTGTTGCGTGTGTGTGTCATTGTGTGTGTAGTACTGAGCGGAGGTGTTGCGTGTGTGTGTCATTGTGTGCCTAGTATTGATTAGAGGTGTTGCGTGTGTGTGTCATTTTGTGCGTAGTATTGAGTAGAGGTGTTGCGTGTGTGTGTCATTGTGTGCGTAGTATTGAGTAGAGGTGTTGCGTGTGTGTGTCATTGTGTACGTAGTATTGAGTAGAGGTGTTGCGTGTGTGTGTCATTGTGTGTGTAGTACTGACCAGAGGTGTTGCGTGTGTGTGTCATTGTGTGTAGTACTGGGCAGAGGCGTTGTGTGTGTGTGTCCTTGTGTGTGTAGTATTGACCAGAGGTGTTGCGTGTGTGTGCCATTATGTGTGTAGTATTGAGCAGAGGTGTTGCATGTGTATGCCCTTGTGTACGTGTGTGTGCCGTTGTGTGTGTGTTCCTTGTAGGTGTGAGTGGTGTTGGATGATAAAGCATAGATGGCTTGCGGCTCCATTGGGGTTGTTCAGTGGCGGAAACGGGAGTGTGGTGTGTGGTTGTGTTGTATGTGCTGTGTGCTGTGTGGTTGTGTTGTCTGTGGTGGGTGCTGTAAGGTTGTGAATTTTGGAATTCAAATTCAAATTTTCCAAAAAGGCCCAATTTTTGAAAGATGTACGGCTATATAGCTGATTGTGACCCGATTCCATACACATTCCCTACACTTGTATGGCTCGCTAAGTACGCGTGTTTGTTCGTGTGCGTTCATGCAGACGCTGGGCAGGGCGTGAAGGGTCTGGGTAAGCTACAGAACTACATCACCGAAGACACAAACTACTCACAGTGGCTGCAAACGGCCCCAAAGGAAGAGGTTGAGTACGCCGAGGTTGAGCGGCAGATGATTGCGAGCCTCAACCTAACTCATACGAGGTTAGAGCGTGTGGTAGCAGAACGCACCGTGTACGCGAGCGACGACGGATTGGCCGAAGAGGTGGACGAGGATGACAGCAGCTATGACGAGGATAGGTGGGTGGGGGGGTGCCATCGGGGCATGTGTATGTGTATAGACTTATAGGTATATGTATAGGCCTATATGTAGGCATATATCTGTAGTATATGGATGTGAATGTCCCTACAAGAACGTGTATACCCCCACATGTATGTGTATAGCCTTATAGGTATATGTAAAGACCTATAAGAAGGCATACGTCCCTAGTATATGAATGTGAATGTCCCTACAAGTACGTGTATATCCTCACATGCATATGTATAGCCCTATAGGTATATGTAAAGGCCTATAAGTAGGCATACATCCGTAGTATATGGATGTGAATGCCCCTACAAGCACGTGTATACCCCCACATGTATGTGTATAGCCTTATAGGTGTATGTAAAGGCCTATAAGTAGGCATACGTCCCTTGTATATGGATGTGAATGTCCCTATAAGCACGTGTGTACCCCCACATGTATGTGTACTTGTGTATGCTCGGAAGGGTGCAATAGTGTGCTATGTCATGCGAGTGGGTGCTGAGTGTATTGTGTGTGCCAGTGACGATGCTCTGGCTGATGCAGTGGACGATGACTGTAGTAGCTGTTACGAGAATGCGTGAGTGGTCATATGCACAACTGCCTTTAGGAACTGTGTGTGTTCCATATCGCTTTCTATGTATTTGTGTAGTGTGCACGTATGTGTGTATTGCATATCGCTTTATATGTATTTGGGTAGTGTTGCACGTATGTGTGTATTGCATATCGCTTTCTATGTATCTGGGTAGTGTTGCACGTATGTGTGTATTGCATATCGCTTTCTATGTATTTGGGTAATGTTGCACGTATGTGTGTATTGCATATCGCTTTCTATGTATTTGGGTAGTGTTGCACGTATGTGTGTATTGCATATCGCTTTCTATGTATCTGGGTAGTGTTGCACGTATGTGTGTATTGCATTTCGCTTTCTATGTATTTGGGTAGTGTTGCACGTATGTGTGTCTTCCATATCGCTTTCTATGTATCTGTGTAGTGTTGCACGTATATGCCTCCCTAAAAAAACCCTGGATGTATATAAACACTCCTATTCAGGATTTAGGGCGTAGGGTTTAGCGCATATTTATAAACTTTTATATATTTATATACATATATATATATATATATATGGTTGTACATACACATGAATACATCTACAGAAACACAGTGGTTTTACCGCATAGCAACCACTCCAGATCCTATACCACACACCCGACTAAGCCCTAAACCCCTAAAACCCTAAACCCCTAAAACGTCGGCCACAGAGAAACCAAACACATGTTCCTGTGCAAATGGGAAGGACTGCCGTACGAGGAATGCACGTGGGAGTACGAGGACGAGATAGCCAACGATCAACACTTGGTGGACGCGTTTTTGGATCGGGAAGAGGCCAATACCTTACCTACACCCAATTGTGCCGCTCTGAAAAAGCGACCCAAATTCAAGGAACTGAAAACACAGCCGAATTATATCGGGAAGATGCTGAGTGAGAAAGACAAGAAGCTTGCCAGTGGTATGTGACTGGACTGTTCATGGTCGGTTGTAGGTGTGGCTGTGGCTGTGGCTATGGTTGTTACGGTGGCTGTTGCTATGGCTGTGGCTGTGGGTCTGGTTTGGGTGTGGCTGTGGATGTGGCTAGTCATGCATGTGACCACAAGAGGCTCTCTGGTGTGAGGGTAGTGTAACTGTGGGCGGATGCGTGTACATATTAGCAGTCTAGTCTACACGTGTGTACGTATTAGCAGTTTAGTCTACACGTACACGTGTGTGTGTTTGCTATCTGTCTTGTGCACACGCATGCACCTCTGCAGATGTATCTTCAGGGTAGTGTGGTATGTAATGTTTTTTTGGGTTTTAGGGGTATTATGGTATGTATTTTTTTACGGTTTAGGGTTTTAGGGGTAGTGTGGTATGTTTTGTTTTTAGGGTTTAGGGTTTTAGGGGTAGTGTGGCATGTAGTGTTTTTACGGTTTTTACGTTTTAGGGGTAGTGGGGCATGTTATGTTTTAGCGTTTAGGGGTAGTGTGGTATGTTTTGTTTTTAGGGTTTAGGGTTTTAGGGGTAGTGTGACATGGAATGTTGCGGGACACGCGCACAGAATGTATGGGCTACGGACAACGCTCATCGGATGGGATTCAAGGGATCTAGTTCGTTTTTTTAAGAAATACTTTGACGTCATGATATTCAAGGACCAATCAAATTGTCTCGCGTCATGCCGAATAGTCTGACAATCCTAACCATACACGTTGGTGAGGAACGTGAGAACCAATCAAAACCACGGAATTCTCTATTTAAACCAATAAACCCTTGTGACACGCTGCATCGTCCAATCAGATGCAAAAGAAACAGATGAGGAGGGACCGAAGGAGCTAATAATGCGCGACTACCAATTGGAAGGCCTGAACTGGATTGTGCACAACTGGTGCCAGGACCACTCGGCTATTCTGGCAGATGAGATGGGCTTGGGAAAAACCATCCAGGTATGTGTGGATGTCAACGTAAACCTGGTTTACACGGTTGTATCTCATTAGTGGTCATTTGTCAACGTAAACCAGGTTTACACGGTTGTATCCCATGAGTGGTCATTGGACGATGCAAAGGGCAGAACGAAATCAGTCCGTGCGACTGTCTTTGCTGAGTAATCACTTATATGCGTGAAAGGGGGTTA